CTGTGCTGGGCCATACTGGGCTGTGCAGTCCTGTACTGGTCTGTGCTGGGTCTGTACTGGGCTGTGTTGGGTTGTACTGGGCTCTGCTGGCCTCTACTGGGCTGTGTTGGGCTCTACTGGGCCACACTGGGCTGTGCTGGGCCATACTGGGGTGTGCTGGGTTTTACTGGGCTGTGCTGGGCCTTACTGGCCTGTACCGGGCTGTACTGAGGTATACTGGACTGTACTGTTTATACATGCGGGGATGTACTGGGCTGTGCTAGGCCATACTGGGCTGTGCAGTTCAGTACTGGGCCATGATGGGCTGTTCTGGGATGTGCTGAGCCATATTGGGATATGCTGGGTCTTACTGGACCATACTGGGCTGTGCTGGGCCATACTGATCTATACTGTCCTATATTATGTTGTACTGGGTTGTACTGGGTTGTACTGGGCCATACTGGGCTGTGCTGGGCCGTACTGGACTGTACTGGGCCATGCTGGGCCATCCTCAGCCATACTGGGCTGTGCTGGCCATGCTGACTTATATTGGGTTGTACTGGTCCTTACAGGGCTGTACTAGCTTGTTCTGGGCTGTACTGGGTTGTACTGGGCCATGCTGGGCCATCCTCAGCTGTACTGGGCTGTGCTGGTGGCCCATGCTGCATTATACTGGGTTGTACTAGTCCTTACAGGGCTGTACGAGTTTGTATTGGGTCATACTGGCTTGTACTGGCCCATACAGGCTTGTACTGGTCTATGCTGGGTTGTGCAGCCCGTTCTAGCTCCTACTGGGCTGTACTGGGTTGTACTGGGCCATACTGGACTGTGTTGGGCCTTACTAGACTGTGATGGGCCATGTGGGGTATTACCAGGTGATACTGGGCTGTACTGGCCTAGACTGCGCTGTACTGGACTTTGCTGGGCTATACTGGGCCATACTGGTGTGTATGGAGCTGTACTGGACTGTTCTGGGCGATACTGGGCTGTACGGGAGTGTGTGGAGCCATGCTGGGCTGTATTGGGCCATACTGGGTCTTACCAAGCAATACTGGACTGTACTGGCCTGCACTGGGCCATACCGGGGTCTGCTGGTCTCTCCTGGGCCAGACTAGTCTGTATGGGGCCATATGGGGGTAGACGGAGCCATACTGGGCTGCGTGTACTGGTGGGTGCTGGTCTCTACCGGTAGGTACTGGTCCATACTGGTGGGTACTGGTCCGTACTGGCCCATCCCCTGTCCCCACAGGCCCCGCGGCGACGCCCGGACGGGACCGACATGGAGCCCTGAGAGGAGGTAATGGGATCACACGGAATCACATGGGATCTCACGGGATCTCACGGCTCCCAGGGGATGGGGGGGGGGTCTCCCCATGGCACTGATCC